GGATGAAACTCGAATGGTCTAAATGAATTAGAATGTTGACTTGTCACAAAGACCTGTCATCTTGAAAGCAAACCACTGCAGTATGTCCGATGCACATTAGGACAGTGTATTTATGCTCTCATTCTCTCACTCGTTGTACCTTCTCTCACAGGTTTCTATGGATCATCGTCATATCTGGACACTGGTCTTGCCGCTGCCGTAGTTGTGACATATGCAAGAGTAATTTCCCTGGCTTTTTGGATCGTTGACGGTGAGCGTGAACTGTCGGGGAGAGACAGCCGCGTCTCTTAAGTCCTGCACGGTGACATGTCGCTGTGTTGGGCTGCTGTTTCAATAGTGTCATAGGGGGGGTGGCCAGTCTTCAAATCATGTGCCAACATGCGTTAGGGTACTTCCAGTGTCCGATGTATATTAGGACAGTCTTTTTATGCTCTCATTCACTCACTCTCTGTGCTTTCCCACCTCGCAGGTTTCCGTGGATCCTGGTGATACCTGGACCCTGGTCTTGCCTCCTGCCGTGGTTCTGTCATATGCATTGAATGTGTTGTAACTCTGTAAATGTTGTTCATTCTGTACACATGACATCTATTGCCCTTCTGTCCATCCTGGGAGAGGGATCCCTCCTCTGTTGCTCTCCCACAGGTCTCTTCCTCTCTTCTCCCCGTTAAAGGGTTGTTTGGGGGAGTTTTTCCTGTTCCGATGTGAGGGTCCTGGGACAAGAGATGTGTACAGATTGTAAAGCCCTCTGAGGCAACTTTGTGATTCGTGATTTTGAGCTATACAAAATAAAATAAATTGAATTGTACCTGCGCCTACCGTTTTCAACAACTCCACAGAAGACATCTGGACAGCTCTGAGGCAATATCTAATTAGCGCTATTTAGTGCCATATATAGTAACAACGTATCTGTGTAGTCAACAACTGTCAAATCAAATGAAGAATCAATTATATTTTAACAATTATTATTCTCAGTTTTCCAATTTAACTGGATGGATTATAAATAATACATAAATAAATGTTCTCTCATTTCAAGTAAAATAATGGCTCCATCTAAAAATAAAAGGGTGAGGGTCAACCCTAACCCTTTTACACATAATTTCTGTAGTTAAACTGTTGAAGTATACGGCTGTGAAAATACGTAACTATAAAGATAGCTACCTAAATACAGTAAATCATCTGAATCTTGGTATAATACTGGCTGCGTTTATTGGAGGTTGTTTTAAATGTCTGTTCGATCAAATGTATTAAGGCATAGTATGTGTAAATAGCATCTGGACAAGTTATTCTGCATCCTTAACCAACTGCAAAAAACCTCAACATAATGCCATCAGCCAAAGTCAGACTGCCAAATTATCAAACAACAAACCACACCTTCAGACGTCCCTGGTCTCCATCTGTTAGAAAAACTCAAATAATGACTTCTGTTTGCAGAGGACCTAATAATGCATCCAAACAACAGCTGCCTTTTGACAGATATTCTGCCAAAACCGAGCCTTGGCCGTGAATCTGGAAAGGAGCAAGAAAATTATTTTCAAGGAAAAAGCCCAAATGTCAGTGTAATCCCAACGGGGTTTTACAACATAGCTATACAAAATAAAAATAAAAAATCTAAGGGGTGGAGGGAGGTCATTTCTTTTTTGAAAGCTCTCAAAAGACAAAAGGAGGAGGACATTCTATGCCACAAAACAAGCTGGCCACCTACCGATACAGGACCAACCTGAACCTGGCTACAAATATTAAAATCTATCATCATTTTACTATAGAAGTAGGGATATGTGGGAATGCCCTAACAAAACAAAGAGTCCACAGAAACACAACACACAATCGAAGCCAAGCTGAAATAGGCCATGTGCCACTTTTAATTAGGATAGAAAAAAAAAAAGAGCAACAAAAAACAGCTTAAAGCCTGAACCCATCAGCTCCAACATGACAGCGGAATGCTGATTATGAGGCTCAGCTCATCTACAGTGCACAGACCTCACACAGACTAGACCAGCCAATTTATAGCCAAAGAGATTAAACACTGGAGATTTAATATAAACCTTTAAGTAAACGTAAATGTTATTTAGTAAATCTAATACATAGGAAGAGTATCTGGTCACTGTGAGCAACAGAAAAAGACATGAATGATCACAATCTGGCCATTGAAACTGGTGGACACACACACACACACACACAGACCCGTCAACCCAGTCAGTTTTCCTACCTTCTGATGCTGTGTTGGTTCATCACGCTGCTCTTGCATCTTCATACTGCCTCCCAGTTTAATATCATGTGGCTGAGTCTCTTCCTCTTGCATTCTTATAATATCTGCGAAAACAGAGCAGATTTAGTGAGTTAGTGTCATATTCATTGCATTAGGTTAGCTGTGCAAACTGTTGCAGCACAACATGCAAACAGAAAAGCAGAACAATACCAACACGACAAACCTCAAACAAACATGTCCACCGGCTCAACCGTACTGTAAGGGCATATGTAATAGGTGTATAACATCTACGGACGACATAGATTGTGGAAAAATTGTGCGAAAACTTAAATGTCAGAAAGTTGGCTGTGGTGACAGAGCAGAGGTGAACCGTGAACTGAGTTATATGTTATTTCACACGAGGCAAAAGCCAAAGCAATCCCTCGGAAGAGATTATTAGCAATAAATTGTGCTTCAAATTTAAGAGACGTGGCAATTCATCTTGCCAACAATATAAGCCAGCTGTTGTACTGCTTACATCAAGCATGAATCATTGTGGCTATAATATTGTACGATTAAAAATGGAATACAAAAAGTGTGGCTGAGGTTTTAGGCGAATTTTTGAAGTTTGTAAAATACGATGCAAACACAGATGTTCTGGGTGAAAATACTCACGAGCAAATCAAAAGATTACATAATTAACTGGGCCTCAACAGCTCAACACATTGTAGCATTGCATTGCAGCTTTCGAACCTAAAATGGCATTTGAGTTATTCTCATGATGAAAGAATATGCAAATGTGAACGTCTTTACAAGTGCAGTGAAGATACAAGTCTACTGTACATATGTTGAATGGCTGTGTTTGTTGGGAAATTAAATGGCTTCATTTGTAAAACTGATTGGATTCTTCGTGACATATCTTTGGAAGGCAATCTATGCAGAATAGTCCTCAGTTTCTGAAATATTCCATAGACATACATACATATACATATATACACATACATACATATATACACATATATATATACACACATACATATACACACATAGATACACACATATATATATATATATATACATATATACACACATACATACATATATACACATACATACATACATACATACATACATATATATATATTGATTTACCTACATGTCACCGCAGATTCATCTGTGGAAACTGAAATGCAATTCAACTGCAAATAGGCTGCCAGGTTTTGATGCATCACAAGATTACAGTGATCCAGAGGAGCCCATCCATTTCCCTTCCAACACCTGACAAATCCATCTTCTGTCTGATGCAAATGTATAAAATAAGACTTTTTATGAAAACGGACACAACTGGGTACAGAACCCACCATGACAGAACGAACTTGAACTTTGTCTACCCATTTCTGACTGCAAACAGCAACCTGTTTGAAAGAAAGCTAGCTTATGACCTGCTTTGTTTTGACTGAGAACAGTCATTTGTGAGCCTTTGTTTAGGAAAAGGCAAATCATACTTTATTTATGATGCAGAGTACACAAAAGTAAGAATTTACGAGGACTATGCAGCACATCGTTTCAAATAACAGTGTGTAGATGTACTTTTTTTTTTTTTAAACCAATGGGTATGTGTGCTAGAACCAGTGGCTTTATACTGGTACCATATCCTCTTCCAATAACTCAAACATAGCAAGCACTGTATGTCACTGTTTGTCAGAGATGTCATCTTGCTGTGTCCAGTTGCATCGTTGACTCTCAAATTGTATGACACTACATGAAGCACAGTAAAATTGTGTGCAGGGATGACTTCTATATATAGTGTCAAAACAATCAGCCAACTCAACTCATCCACTTAAATTAGGAACTGATCAAAGTGAATTCCATTTGCAAGACAATCTGCAATCGGTTCCTATCACACTACAGTTGTAAGCAGAAAGACTTTCTTCATTACCGTTCAAATTAGGCTACTCTTTCTGACTGTTTGAAATCTCCTCTGCCATCTATTTGTGTGTGCCTTTTACACCAGATCAAAAGACTATCCATACATTTCTGCAAAGGGAAACATTGAAAACAATAGCTACATTTTCTGGTGAATACAGAGAATGAGGAAAAGCTGCTGCAGTCTGCACGGAAACTTTGTAGATTTATTACTCAGGGGGGACAACAACACCACCAAACATAAAGCGACACAGGAAATACTCCAAAACAGCCAGAGTACTGGCCACTGGCTAAGTCAGAGTCCAGACCTCAGTTCAATTGAGTACTTGAAATTACTTTTCACTGACAGACCCCATTCAATTTGACAGAGGTTGGGCATGCGTCTCTAAATGCCTGGTCATAAAGTACAACAGCTAAGTCATTTTAAATGATTGTTTGTTGTAACCACGATGCAATGCCAACCAACTTCTTAAATGTGATAATCTTATAAGCCAGGTGCTTTTGCATTTTCTTATTTTGAGTAGGTACACGCAATGTGCTTAACCTTAAATGCTGTTTTAATTTGTTATGTCTGTTTTGTTTTATGTTGCTGTTGTTTTTGTAATTTACTACTGTATGTGTAGGGACGAAAGGGTGGGCTCGGTACAAATTACGCGTATCTAGTTAGAGCAGCAACCACTCTGAAAATAGTCTCCAATTAAGTTACGGTAAGAGTCAAGTAAATATCTGCTAACTGAACTGTGACCGGATGTAGACTAGTTTGTATCCAAAAATAAATGTCAAACACCTCCACCAATGATGTTTCGCGATCGGGGTTTTATTTTGGAATTCCTTACCGCACGTGCGGCGTTTTATTTTCTTAAGATCAACCCAGCGCGCTGTACTTTTATGCTCGTCAGTGTGTTCTAAACTGGTGGCGAGCTCGATATGTATACCTGTCTTCTTTTCTTTTTCCTCTTAAAGTAAACAATTACGGGATTACGCTTTGCTCAGTTTCCATCCTAAATTGCGTTTTAGGGTCGTGAATGCAATGGAGAACAGCACTACGGGGAGGGGAGAGCTTTTACGCATCGCACATCTTTGAGCGTCGATACAGGATACAGTAAAACATAATATAGAAACTGCACAGACTTTTAGAGTAACTGCGCTCTGCGTTGTGGACTGTATAATGAGGTACGGATTGGTGGTTGTCACTGCTGGGTTTACAGGTTTGCTCAGCTTCAGCCTCCTCGCAGTGGCTATTGGAACTGATTACTGGTACATTATCGATGTGAATAAACCCAACTGCACAGGTTCAGACGACCTGAGTTCACATTCTGGACTATGGAGAATTAATGAAGGTATATCAACTCAACTCAAGCCAACATATTTCAGTATGTAGTTTGCATGAGCGTTTAGTCAGATGGGTGTAATTTACTGAAGGATGGTGCGTGTGCTGTAATTATATGGGATGTAGACCTTATTTTTCCAGCATAACTTTTGCGCTGTTTCTTACGTGGGGTCATTTTGAGAAGCCATTGTCATGTGGCAGTAACACTGTTGTGAGTAAAAGGCTTATTCTCTCTTGCAATATCCATTATTTTTGCCGTCTCTTATGTTGACAGTGAAAGAAAAAAGAAAATCGATCTACTGTGGAGTAAATGTGATGCCGTTGAGATGTATTATTGTTCATTCATTGTTCATTGACCAAGGGTTTCTCTCTCATTCTGCTGCGTTACCATGTTCAGTTACAGCTGCAGGCTACCGTTATATTTACCGCAATTTATTCATCACTGATTGCAGTAAGTCATAGTTGTGTAATTCTAAAGCACAGGATAAGTGAAATGCCAGTGCTTTTATGTTGGAGAAATAAATGACACAGACTGTGCTGAATTATTAACTCATACGTTTCAGTTTGAGGTCCCATAGGTCCACTGTGTTGCTGGTGCCGCCCACAGTTCACAGTAAATGTCATATAATGAGACAACATAATGTTTAAAGCTATTAAGGCAGTGCACCTGTGACATTAAGGTGGAACATGCACTAACACAATTGTTGTTATATCCTCTACTACTGCACTGGCTGAGCTCACAGAAGCAGCAACTTGAGCTTTATTCTGTGCAGAGGTGCACAACTGTCGCACATGCAGAGCTGAGAATATCTGTCGTATAGAGAGGTCTTTAATTGGTTTGATTAATTCACGCTTGCATTGTGTTGAATTTCTAAAGATATTGAATATTTGTACAAATGTGTTCACAAAGTGACACTGTTAGTAGCAATTTTCCAGTCTTACAGCTCTGTCCACACATCTCGTCATGTGTAACCTTTTCTCTTGACATTTTCAGGAGCAAACATGAGCTCAGTCATCCCTTCTTTCACAGCAAATATGTCCAGCCTGTCAGAAGTGGAAAGGCACCTTCTTGGTGAGTGGTTTTGTTTATCAACTGGCAGTCAGTGATTTCTGACTCAAAGAATGTATCGGTGTAGTTGGCTGCTGAAGAAATTACATTCACAAGTAGCTGTTTGCTGTCAGAAAATCCTATCCACATGATGTACACCCAACAAACATGAACATTTTTGCTAAGGGTGGTGTTTTCTGAAACATTCCCTGTTTGTAATGAAGTACAGTAATACACTGCTTGTGATAGAAGCTATCTTAAGCAAGTCTGAACACGATTTTCATACCCAATTGACAATAAAACTGGAAAATAGTGCCTCCTTGGATGGTAGAAATCAATCTGAATGGCCTAACTGCTTTTGCAAATGGTTGCACTCAGCGGTTTATCCAGCTGACTTGTCATTACAGTGTTTTGAAGTAGGTTTGTGAGGTATTTATCCATAGTCAGTGCATTAAGTAAATGGCGGTCGGCACACCCCCTGTTTGGAGAAAAGGAGTACCAGCATGGGAGAAAAGCAATGCTGTGGACTGGGGCAGCAGAGAACATATTTGAGACGCCTAAAAAAAAGCAGACAGCGCTAGAAATAAAGGGATGGTGTCCGCTCAGCTGCTCTTTGGCTGTGCTTGGCCTGACAGAATTTTTTGTGCACGCTAAAATGGATGATGTAGAACAGAACATTTCCAAATATAAAGCATTTGTTTATGGTATTTTCTTAAAGATCTTTTCAATAATTGCAGAATTGTAATTTTCGCCCAGTTCAGCTGTATTAGGTGACTAATACAGTAGGTAACTATGACACCAACCCTGCAGACGTTTCAGTCAAATTAGCGAATCAATCATCCACATGTTCTATGATCGTACCCCAATGCTATGACATATTCTATTTTAACCCTCCTTGTTTCCGATGAGGAGACTGTGTTTCTTGGCAAGGGCCGCCCTGTTTAGCTGGTTGAGGCAGAGACGATTGGTTAGGGTCAGGATAGCCCATTGGTGAGGGCATAGGACCTGAAAAGAATCAGGTGACCGGTACCTCAGCGAGCATGGACGCCTGGCCAATCCTAGTGCATGAATGCGGGTCTTGCCAATAATAGCAATGGGATTCATAATTACTGTATACCACCAGACCATTAGATAAGTCTCACTTTCAGTTCAGTTCCCTGTTCAAAAATATTCTAAACAAATATACTTAATTAAACTGATATCATTTTTTACTTTGCTCCCATGCTGGTACACCTCTCCAAACTAAGAGCATGCCGCCCGCCGTCCACTGTAGGGAATACACTGACAACAACTAACCCAACTTCAAAACATCCCAACTATATCCTTTAAGGCACTTTAAAAAACAAAAAATCTTAAAAGCACACTAACCACTGTGTGTTTGTGAATGTGTTTGCAGGTTTGCACAAGGTGGTGGTCATCATGTTGCCCCTCAGCCTGGTCATGTTGGTGTTCGGCTGGATCTTTGGACTTGTCAGCTCGCTGGCCTGCAGTCCCAACTTGCTGGCTGGATCAGCATCCTATGTTCTCTTCTGTAGTGAGTCCACACAGATCTTTTTTTTTTTCTGTGCTTGTGGCAATTCCGCATGTTTTGCATCTAGACTGTTCTGTAGCAAACCCTTTGGTTTGTCATGTCAGTGATGTATGGTTAGGGCTGGGCAATATGGCCAACATCAAAAACAGCACAAGAAAAGCTTGTGTGCACATTTTACACATACAGGTGCCTTGTTGTGCCTTAACTACACATAGAAAACCATGAAAAGATAATGTCAAGTGCTCTCTTTTACTTCTGACTTAAGGCAACTGCTAAAATCTCATTTATACTTTCTTACACTGAGGGCCAATAAGAAACCTGCAATTAGTATAAATATTATATCTTGCAGTTGACTGGAGCAGACTGTTATCCGGAGAATCCGAAGCTACATAATACATATCTGACATTCAAAATCCCATTTGACTTGAGTCGAGTTAGGTAATGATCTTTTTGATTACACTGTTAATAGAAGTGCGGAAATTGGGATTTTATAAGGAAATAAGAAAGACACTTTTAAACTGATTAGAGCTTACTGTGCCAGACTTCCGTCTTTCTATTTAATCAGTTTTTCACGTTTTATGAATCGACAGAGCATGAGTGATTCAAGAGTCTCAGATGCAATTATCGTAGCACAATCATCTGTGACAGGTTGGACCCCCATATGCTAAATCACAGTTTTGACACCAATTACCAAACACTTCAATGCTGTAGAACAGTGTGAATAGAGCTGGTTGTATGATCTACTGACAATATTTCCATGGTAAGCAAACATTTAGTCTGTTTTAATACAACTTTGGTGCGGTTCAACTCCTGGTGCAGTTAGTTTGGACAATTGAGACATAGTAATTTACTTTGGTGCGCCAAATATTCACCCGTTGGAAAATGATACAATTAGCAGCATTGATCGCAGCATGCGGAGTTGATTGCTCATTGTGATGAAGTGGCACAAGATAGCAGAAGAGCTTGTTCTTGATTGAAAGATTCAGAGACACTTTCCCCTGGGATCGTCATTACATGCTCTCTGAAATCATTCTTTTTCAAATGGCATCCTTGTAACAATATCAACAAAATTGAATGTACTTTGTTTAGTCAAGTTCATTGAATATATTGTGTCTTATCCCGGTAATCATGGGCAGTCACATCATGAACAACATCTTCCTTAAATGTAATTATATGATAATATGAGGCACAGCCCTTGCATTTGATGTACTACAGAGGTTGTGTGTTGGTGAGATCGGTCCAATACTTTGCTCCAGGATGAAATATTTCAACTATTGTTCCCATGACATTTCTGTAAACGCATTTACGTTCCCCTCGGGATGAATTGTAATAACTTTGGTGAGCATGCTAATTTTAGCATTTATCTCAAAGCACTGCCTCACAGACAATTGTTGTAGACTTAAAATTATAATTGCTAATCTGCATATTTGCCAAAATGATGGTCTCAAAAATAACATGAACCTTGACATAATTTACATACTTTTGTATCCGTCCATAAACAAGTATTGAATGCTCAAAAATATAAACTGAATGTCCAAGAGAATGGGAGCTCAAAGACAAAATATCATCCACTTTTGGGGACAGTCATAAAAATGTCTTCAGTGTGGTCCAGTAAGGAGACCTGATCTGCATGGCAGTAACAGCATACGCTTTCATCAGCAATACATTAAACGAAATATTGCTTTTTTTCCTACACTGCGAAGGGTTCAGCTGTTAGCAGTCGCAAAAAAATAGAATATTCATCAAGGGGAATGAGTTTTATTCTCGATTTGGTTGAGGGTGAATGTAGGAATCTGTTACCGAGGTAGACGGTCTTATTACTATATTTTACCATCTCTGCTGACAGGCCCAGCTTCCCAGACAGCTAATTTCATGCTTTGCACCAAATGGCCTGTCCACGTCTCTACATCAAAAGACCTGCAAGCATACGCTCCTCCACTTTCAAAGCCACCTCTTATACTCGGTGAATTAGGCACCGGCACTGTGTTGAGATGCATCCACACTAGTGAGAGTTCACACTTAGTGTCGGTTCAGTATACGGTTGCATACACCGTATTACAATTAACAGTTGTAAACGTACACATTTGCTTATCTGTGGTATTGAAATAAACTGAAAAGTGTGGTTGTGTGAGAGTTGCTGAGTCTGGCTGCACTGTCGCGCACCTAAAGTATATGTTAATTGGTTAATTAATTGATAGCACATTTCCCAAAATGACACACTATTCCTTGAAATAAGACAACTTCTGGTGTTAAATCAGTGGCTCCATCATATTCATGAATGCCTGCTGCCAAAAGACAATCCAGTCAAGAGAGCAAACAAACAAACAAATCTCCCTCTGACAATGATATATTTTCCACAATGAACAGACTCACAATGCTTCTAGCTATACTAACCTTCAGTGATGAAATCAGAATATGATGTCTGATGCATTTCTTACCATCCTTGTACTTCATCTTTACCAGCATGCTTCCGTCTACATTTTCTAAATTCTGGATCAGAGGGACAAAAAGGAATAAAGCTGCTTTATTTAGCAGTAACATTCCTCAGAGAGGTATTTTATTTGTACCATTTAATGTGTTTGAGAGTATTATTACAGGTGTCTTGTTTTGATTGAGAACAAGTGAAGCAATTACATTTTATTGCTAAATAGTTTTTATTTTAAAGAAATACTTTACCCACAGAAATGACCATTTGTATGTCAATTGCTCGCCCTGTGTTGCCTTGAATATTTAAAGAAAACTGTTTTTCTTGCATTCCTCCACGTTTGAACAAAGAATCAAAAAAGGAGAAATGCTTGCACTGCCTTCCAAATCGCATACTTTCTCTTTACTTTTGTACATACTGCAGCTGTGCTTACAAAGTGCGTACTGTTGCATGCAGTATGCATTCAATTGGGACACGCTACTTCATCGAAATAGTGCACCTTGAACTTTTAACCTCTTGCTCATAAATCTGCTGCGCAGAGGATTGTAGGTCGGAATAGCTAGACAAGCATGCTGGTTTGCAGACTGCAAAAATTTGACAGGATGTAACAACAGCAAAACTATATCATCTATTACTAAACTCTCACACTCATGAGTTGTACGTCAATGTGAAAAGGACTTTCTATATCCCTCTATGAAACAGAAGTCTGCATAACCCGCTGTGCCGTTCATGACATTTGTACTTGCTAACCTTTTTTTCTTTCTTTCTGGCTATACTGTACTTACGTACCAACTAGGCAAATTACATGGTAGACGATGATTAGTAGTTAACTGGGTCGAACTGCAATAATTTGCACAGTTTTTTTGGTTCTGCCTTCCATGGTGCCACACTAAAGGTCAGTCTGAATTGCGCAGTGGGGACTACTGGTGTTTTAGCGTTGATATTTAGTGTATTTTATTCTTGTCAGCACAACTCTGCAGTCATTTTTATGACTTTCTATTTGTCGGTTTAGGAAATCAAAAGCTAAAAATACAAAGCAGAAACTCTCAGATTCCTCCTGTAAATGATTGGAATAAATTTAGAAGCACCTTGCTGGAATAATTGGTATTTGAATGAGACAAATGTTTTTTGTTCTCGAAACGGCTTTAAATCGTTAACGCTTTAAGATAATTGTTTCTCATTAATGTACTTAAGTCTGTATTATCTAATGTCATCCATTGAGTTAAGTGAAGACGATTCCATTGGAAAATGATTATTTGCCTCTGAATAGATTATCACCTTAATGACCTCATTGTAAGAACTGGTTAATTGCGATACATCATGGTGATTACGGTGCTTGATTAGGCAGCACAAGGATCTCATTCAAAGAGAATTTATTCAAATTCCTCAGGATGGATCATCCATGTTTCAAGGTACAAGGCAATATGTACGTAAAGTTTTGTTTTTCTAATGGTGCCATGTGTTGGTTTCTGTGCACTAACAGGTCTTTTTACCCTCTCGGGGGTCAGCATCTACATCAAATACTCAAACCTAGCCATGGAGGAGTTCCAGCGGATCGTGCCCCCAGAGAACCTCGCCCACGTGGATGTGTCCTTCGGCTGGTCCTTAGCCACAGCCTGGCTCTCCTACAGCCTGGAGGTGGTCAGTGGCCTGCTGCTCCTGCTAGCTGCCAGAATAAGTCAGATGAAGGGACGCTATGACTCTGGTGTACCCATCGCCATGTTATAGATTGATGTTATATGATGCCCAAGTGCATCCAAAGGCTCCCACAGGCCAGTATTGTATTGCTGTTGGTATTTATTTAACATGTCAGGGTCCAAGGCAACAAAATGCAGATGAGAGCTGGATTTACGAAACTGCAACCATAGATACATAGATGCTGAATGAGTGATGCAGTGTTGAAGGGCCTTGAACACCAGCTGCCTTTCATCCTCTCTGTATAATTTTCTTTCCATCGTCCTAGCCCATAAATGTGACCACACAAACAGAAGAACCATTCATAGTGTAATTAGTGTAATTTAGTTAGTAGTTTTTCAGTCCTTTGATGCCATATTCCATCCATACGTGCAGTACAGTATGTATAGCTGAGAACATTGAGCACATTTGATTCAGCCGTAGCTTTTCTGTGAGATGTGTCTTTAAGAATGCTTGTGCAAATTCACTGCCCTGCGATGTGAACGCAAGCAAAACAAGAAGTGAGGCTGTATGCGATCATTTCCTTTTGACACGTGCTATGTTAAATATTTTAAGGGGGACTTCTGCACCTCCTCTTTGTAGAGTATTTCATTCAAGTGAAAACACTGCTGATTCTGCAGCAGACAGCCACCAGGCAATGGAGCCACCTAGACTCCAGCACACAGTCAGTACTGGTATAGTATCTCGTATTTCATGATAGAATATCTGCTGCAATGTTAATCCATGTGTTAGAGAAAATGTGCATTTCACAGCTATTGAGTAGCATTGACTGGTGTAGAAGTTGAGGCAATGTTGGCTGGTGACCTAAAGACAAAATGTTAGTTCAAACTTGCTATATCCACCTTATTGGTAAAAGCATTCATCACTGAAACAAGGATGAAGATAAATGCGCTCGTGGGAATCCTGCAAGTTGTTTTCAGTAAAACAGGATATGTGCACATGTTGCTGCATGCTTTGCTGTAGTTAGAGGTTGGATATTGTAATATTTGTATGTGCTGTCTACTTCTAGGAATGAAGCTTCTCCGATCTGTATACTGGAATTAAAAAGACCAAATACAACATTTTGCACATTTCATAGCTGTAAAAATGTATTGTGTTGTTGTTCCCTTCTCACAATCGTAACAAACCTCATGCTTTCATAACTGAACTGCTTTACTTTATATTGTTAACTGTAGCAGAAAAGCAATCAAACATCAATCCAGCTGAATTGTGAAAACATACAGTGAGTAGGCAACAGAAAAAAAAAGTCACATTGATCAAATGCTTTTAAATGTCTGTGACAGAAAAAAATGTATTGAAAATGTATCGAAGATGTTTGTGTTGTGAGACAATAAGATCATCTGAAACATCCCGTTTCTGTTCTCACTCATGCTTTGTTGTTTACGTGTTCACAAAAATACAATTCTGAGACAACGAGTGTTGTCTACCTACCCACATTGCCTTTAGGTCAGATTGGGACTGCCTGCCTCTGAATGTAAATGAAGCTCATTACGAGTCAGACCAGAGGGAAGAGCACTTGTGTTAAGAATTACAAAAGACTGCCTGTCAATTCAGAAATGTCTGACCAATATGTAGCAGCATGTGGTCGTGTGTGGCGAAGTGCTGTAAAACCCCTATTGAGACGCATATTCCAAATGCGCTGTATGTCCAAAGAATGCTCCTGAAACCCAAATAATATCGACATATCCCACATGTCTAAATAAGAAAATTTGGATATAAGGCGCAATTCAGAATATCCAAAGGGAATATGATGTTTAGATGAGCCATATCAAATTCGGAATATTGTCATATTCCGAATAATAGTGGAATATGAGTGTTCATGTAAACAAAGTCGTTTTTGTCTAGAAAAGTGACACAAACCAGTGAAGCTATAGAACAGTGGGTTCATAACATTTAGGGCGTTACTACCTTTTATTACCACCTGGGTAATATTCTGTAAAAGGTGTGAATGTGCCGACACATAAGAGGTGACAAAAGAGAAGCGAGGCGATGTAAATAAGTCAGGTTACAAAGAGTCCAAAATAGGCTTCGGAAATGTTTTATTTGTTGGAAATGAAAGATGCGTTTAAAAGGGGACTGTGTTTGAAATAGTTAGAAATATGGAATGCACAAAAAAGCAGAATCTGCCAAACTGCTCTGCACTGATGGGGAAAAGTAGTGCAAAGTCTTTGCCAAGGACGAGCATGGCAAAGATAGACGCTACACCTTTAGTAGGGGTGCTTATTGGGGTGCTTATTTTTGCCCGAATGTGATTTGCAACGTGATTTAACGTGACGCAGCCAGAGAATCAAACTCCAAACCGTGAGACATTGTGTCCACTCAGCGGTTTGTTGGCAGCGTCCTGCCCGGTAATCCTGTCTCAGATGGAACAGAGAGCAGAGAGCTATAAAGGAGGGACCGAAGCACAGCGGCTCAATCTTGCAGCCCTCCTTTTATATAATAAGCCAGCTGAAATCCCATTAAACTTTTATGGAACATAATAACTCAATCCACTCTGGCAAAAGAACACCAAACTTGGTCCTAAGCCATCACTCTTTGGTTTGTCCCCTTGGCCTTGACAGAGTGCAGTAATTTTGACTTGGACAACCTCTAGGCTCCTGGTTTTAAGAATTTATTGAAGAAACACAACCTGTTTTCATCGGAACTATACTTTCCTCGCTCAAAATCTCTCCTTGGGCCATTTCCAATACATGTTTAAATCAATCCTCTTGTTTTGTGAGATCACATTTCAGTTGTGTTTGTTAAATTTATCTTTTTCAAACTGTCTGTGTAACTAAGCTTAATTAGGCTTCATGCTTCCCTGTGTGATTGCTCCAACACGTGGATTCATC